CATCAGTCTTCATAAATCACCCAAAGCGTCCCGCATTGAAGTCCTGATCGATGGACTTGTTGTGTCGCCATGATTGTGAAGTATGGAGGAAAGCCTGAATGCGTGATTGTTTCTGTTGAGTATTGCATTAGAGATGTTTCTTGCGATATAACATTTTCCCTTTTATTTTTATTCACCGGAAATGAAAAGTCTGGTAAAATAATGCACAGACAGGACATTTCTATTAGGGCTGCGCGATATTGAACAGTTCTGACCTTGTGATATTTGGATTTTCTGCTGTTTAGTTGAGGTCAGAATTATTAGCCCCCCTGAAGTATTCACCCCTGTTTAATTTTCCCCTAGTTTCTGTGTAACAGAGAGCAGATTTCTCCAGCACATTTCTGATCATGATAGTGTTAATAACTCATCTCTAATAACTGATTTATTTCCTCTTTGCCATGATGACAGTAAATAATATTAAACTAGATATTCTTCAAGACACTAGTGTTCAGCTTAAAGTGGCATGTAAAGGCTTCACTAGGGTAATTAGGCAAGTTATTGTATAACAGTGGTTTGTTCTGTAGACTATCAGAAAAAAATATAGCTGAAAGGGGCGAATAATATTGACCTTAAAATGGTTTTAAAAATTAAAAACTGCTTTCATTCTAGCCGAAATAAAACAAATCAGACTTTCTCCAGAAGAACAAATATTATGGGAAATACTGTGAAAGTTTCCTGAATCTGTTCAACATCATTGGGAAATATGTAAATAAGAAAGAAAAATTGAAAGAGGGGCGAATAATTCTGACTTTAACTGTATATTGTTAATATAATATTACAATATGTCTTAATTAACTGTTTGGCATGAATGAATAATTTTACGTTGAAAATCTTTCTTGCTGTTAGATTATGGGTAAACCTCCCATCTTCTGAGCTGTGGTTCCTGATTAATAATAATAATAATTAATAATAATTCGTTACATTTATATAGCGCTTTTCTGGGCACTCAAAGCGCTTTACACAATGGGGGGGGGGAATCTCCTCATCCACCACCATCTTTCGGATGAGACGTTAAACCAAGGTCCCGACTCTCTCTGTGGTCGTTAAAAATCCCAGGATGTCCTTCGAAAAAGAGTAGGGGTTTAACCCCGGCATCCTGGCCAAATCTGCCCACTGGCCTCTGTCCATCATGGCCTCCTAACCCTCCCCATATCATGATTGGCATATCATCACTCTGTCTCCTCTTAGTTATAACATCATCATCATCAGCTCCTCGCAGCTTCTCCACCGCTATTAGTTATAATCCCAACCTTACTTCAACGATGTGACTATTGCAGATTTGCACATTGCAATATCGATGCTAAAACTAGGGCTGGGAAATATAAAAATGTATCAATATTTATTGACCGAACACATGTGATTTAATGATCATAATTAGTGTTTTTGATAATTATTATTCACACCTGACAGATGTTGATCTACCTTCACCATCACACACTTTATAACATTTTATTCATCAACTTTAAGAGTCTCTCTCTTCTGTTTATTTTATTACAGAGATCAGATATTTTTGTTTTAAGATTTTTTCTTTTTGACTATTAAAACTCTTTGCCTTTGTAATGTTGATAAGTTAAAATAAAGAGGATAAATATAAAATAAATCCTAATATTCATAAATTTAATTGTTAAAATATATTCAATAAATGTCGATAACGAATGATATGAAACATTAAATTGTGATCATTTATTTTTTGCCTTAGCTGAAACGGTATATTATGCAGCCGTAATATATATGTATTATACCAAAGTCCCGTTAAATAGTCTTTCAAATACTTGTGCACGCAAATTCATCATTTCCAATGGAGGCGCAAATCCTGCGTGCACAAATAGGGAGCAATAGAAGTCATGTGACTAGAACTAACCAATCAGCTTCATACTTTTACCTCAGACTAACGCAGCGCGCTCAAACTCCAGTAAATAAAGCTTATATCAGAGCTGAAGCGAGGGTTTGTCAGTTTGCATAATCTGAGAAAATGGTTTATGGTTGCCTTGCAATGACAGACGCCACAAGAGCACAAAGAACAAGGACATTTGTGAAGGAAGCGACGTGCCTCGTGCTGTCCATAAGATTTTAGATGCGACAGGTAAACACCACACATGTAAAGGCAAGTCATTTCACTCACAGAAAAACACAAAAACATTATAAAAAAATCTCTGATAAAATAAAAATAAAACACACTAATGAACTGCCCCTTTCACAGTAACAGCAGTGGTTCAGTCTCTGGCAGGAGCGTGCGCTCTGATATCTGTAAGTCCTCTGGCTGTTTTTTAGCCTCTCAACACTCCAGCTCCTCTCTGTGCCGGTGCTGAAAGCCTGAGAGCTGCAGATCCAGCTGATGCATGTCTCTGCTGAAACACCGGAGCGCTTCACAGAAAACCTGCTATCAGATCAGCTCTCCGCTCCGTCCACTCGCTGTCTGACCCCGACTTCACTTTACTGAGAGACCAATCAGAAATCTGCAGACGAGTCTGGCTGTAACCATTCACTGAACTCACGGACCCGACTTCATATGATTATTTACTTTTTACAAAGAGAGATGGAAGACCTTATGCAGTTATGACAATTATTATGAAAGTATTTACATTTTGCTGTGCATAAAAGCTACTCAGTAGATTAGTTACGCAAATAAACGAATCTCTTCATATGAGCACAGTAAGGCTGCGTCTGTGCTCTATCATTTAAAGTTAGAGGCAAAACCTGAAGATAAAGGGGAGGAGCTGATCATAAAGGGGAGGGGCTGCTGATAAAGGGTTAGGGCTCATGACAAAGGGGAGGGGCTGATGACGAAGGGACAGAGCTTCTGAGGATAATGGGGAGGAGCTGATGAAGGGGAGGAGCTAACGTCAACGGGGTGGAGCTAATGAGGTTGAGGAGCTAACAACAAAGTGGAGAGGCTAATAACAAAGGGAACAAGCTTCTGATGAAGGAGAAGAGTTTCTGAGGATAAAGGGGAGGAACTGATTACAAAGGGGAGGAGCTGATTACAAGGGAGAGCAGCTTCTGAGGTTAAAGGGAAGGAGCTGATGATGATGATGAAGAGGATGGGCTGAGGATGAAGGGGAGAAGATTCTTATGATGAATGGGAGGGGCTAATGACAATTGGGATGGGCTGAGGGTAAAGGGGAGTGGGAGGGGCTGATGATAAAGAGGAGTTTCTGAGGATAAAAGGAGGAGCTTCTAATGATAAAGGGGAGGGGCTAATGATGGAGAGGAACTGATGATAAAGGGGAGGAGCATCTGCTGATAAAGGGAGGAGCTGATGACAATTAAGGGGAGGAGCTTCTGATGATGAAAGAGAGGAGCTGATGATGAAGAGGAGGAGCTGATGATGATGATGATGATAATGATGAAGAAGAGGAGAATGAGATGATGATGATGATGATGATGAGCTGATGATGATGATGAAGGCGAGGAGCTGATGATGATGATGATGATGATGATGACAATAAAGAGGAGGAGCTGATGATGATGATGAAGAGGAGGAGATGAAGATGATGATGAAAAGGAGCTGATGATGATGAAGGGGAGCTTCTGAAGATAAGGGGAGGAGCTTCTGATGATAAGGGGAGGAGCTTATGATGATGAAGGGGAGGAGCTTTTGCTGATGATGATGAAGGGGAGGAGCTGTACTATTTGTTAGATTTGACTTATTAACCATTATAAATCGACTTGGGAACTATTTGAATTTCTGGTTGACAAATGATGGTAATGTCACTTCTGAAAGGACACTAAACTCAAACACTCCACGGGTGAGTGTGTAGGTGTGTAGTGTAGTGTGTGAATTGTGACGCAAGTATAGTGTTTCCTTGGTTACCACTGTAAACAAATCAACACTTGCAGCTGTATTATGAATCTCTCAGAGGCACACTCAGAGAACAGATAATATTGAACACACACTCCTCTAAAGACAGTCAGATTCATTCCTGTTAACTCCTGCCTTTTACCGGTTCCTTGTTACACGTCTGAAATTGCCTACTTAAGCATGTAGTATGTTTGAATGTTAATTTACTACTCGAAGAAAGTGTGTTGATTAGAGTGTGAATGTGAGTATTGAAGGCTGATTTATACTTCTGCGTCAGGCGCATGCATATGCTACAGTGCAGCCCACGCGTTGACACATAGCCCTACACCGAGCCATCGGTGACGTTGACGCGCACCTCTCAAAAAATGTAACTACACGTCATAACGACGCATAATGCAAGCTCTGTGATTGGTCGGCTTGGTAGCGCTGATGAGTCTGGGCAGGACTGAGAGCCGTGCGGAGCCCGATGGAGTGATTGTTTACAAGTGTGGAGTCGCATGAAGGAGCTCCGGATGGAAAGCTTTGTTCTGTGTTTACCTCATAGTTAAAGTTGTTGCACGTCCGCCGGTTCCTGCCTCAAACTGAGCGAGTTTAACCCACTTATACATTCAGGAAGTGTTCAGAAAAAACAAACACCAGTGAAGAAACATGATCAACCCTTGAGTCGTCTTGAGTCCGTTGTGTTAGTTAATTCACGTTCATGGATTCTGTCATGGTGCAGTGTAGTGTTTGATCATTACAGAATCATTAAGATCATCCGGGTAATTCTTGTATACTGTTTAGTCCTATACTCACACACTGTTTCTCACACACTATATAGAGCGCAGTGTGTGCTTCAGCCGTTGTGTTGATGTCAGCTCTGAGTGCTGTGGTTCAGTGTTGCACTGTAAAAAATTCCTGTAAATTTACGATGAAAATAAACAGCAAAATACTGTTTTAATGTAAAAACAGCAAGTTGCCATTTTTTACATTGCATCATGGGAAGACTTGCTCACTTCAGTTTGAGTGGTTGAGCAACAACAGTAAGGGCACTGTAATTTAACGGTTTTATACCATATTTTTTTCTGTGTACACAAGACGCCATTTTGGATTATCTACATGAGGTAAGTGTGCAGCTCCAAATGTGACTACCTATCTGTAAAGTACCTGTTATTTTTTAAAATCACATGTAAACATCCAATAAACACACAACTGCAACAATGATTTGACTGTGTGAATTTGAAAAGCAAGATTAGCATAAGGACTCAGTAACGTTAGTCCTCACATCTCCTGGAGCCTGGATGGATATTTTACCTGAACTTTTAGGAACAGTGCAAATGTTGAACGTTATAATTTGTGGTTACATGAACTGGAACATTGCCCTGCATTTTATGACAGATTTGAACTGCGTGCCTCTGTTTGAAACTCCAAGGTACTTACAAGAAAGGATAATTGGATAATTTGGATATTTTCGACGAGGTAAGAAGCTATATCTGTAAACGTACTATCTTTAAATTACTTATTAAATTTAAATATCATGCCATAAACATCCAATCAACACATAACCAAAGCACCTGTTTATTTAATTGCAGGATCCGACCGTGTGAATGTCTTGAGAAGAGAAAGGGGGTAACTTTAGCCTAATTTAGCAAGCTAACAATAGCTGGAGGACTCATTTTCACATCACACACAGGTAAGAATGTTAAACCTAGATTTTACATGAACTTTGAGTGAAGATTGTACAGACTCTTTTTTTTTTCATGTGGTTACGTGTAACTTGCATATTTGGTCCATTTTATTACAGATACACCTTTTCATTTGCAACTCCGGTGCTTCTAAAAATAACATTTTAAGATCGAGTGAGACCTTTGTTATTTTTACGTTATTGCAGTTGGTTTATATAGAAATTGACTAGAGTTACGATCAGATTTTATGCTTGGTAATGTTACCTAAAGTGGCAGAGCTTTTAATCTTTTTGATGATGTGAGTAAGGAGTAACTGCTATTATAATGAAAATTCTTTACAATTCATTTTTGACCAATAGATGTCTGCCACCACTGCTAATCTTGAAAAGATGGGTAACCTGCCTGTGACTCCTCATTTGATTCTGCCTGGTAAGTATTTTGTGATTAAGATAGGGAAAAAATCAAATTTGTGTCCCGCTATAGACTTTGCTGGTTTGTATTTGACGAAATAGATTCATAAATTTTTAATTCATTAAAGCAAAGTCTCATTTAGTTGGAAATGTATGTATTTGTTTTGATCTGATACCCAAAGAAATAAACTTGCCTTTTAGAAGCCTAGTTATCCTTTAGTATTACTATTGACATACTATTGTCAATGTTTTAACACATGCTTAAGACATTCTGTCACTTTTCATTATCTTTGAATCTCAGATTACCTGGTTTGATTTCATGTAGTTGCTTATTATAATTATTTAAATATTTATTTTAACTTTGAAAAATTATATTGTATGGCTTTATCACGTCTTGCATAATTTTATCATGGCCCTTTCTACACCAAGCCTTTCAAAACAAATGATAAATCACAGAATTAATCTCCAGAATAATATCTAAATAATACTTTAATCAACCAATTTATTAAAGGTTCAGATGATACTTTGGGCCAGTGGATAAAACAATGGATGATCAGCATGGAAGGCAGAGTAATCTGTGAGGGTGAGCATGCACACTGGAATTCCTTCAAAGGTAATATGTTTGCACTTGTTTGCATTTTTTGTTTAATTTAGCATGAGGACTTCATGGAATAGAATATTGTTATGTCCAACTTGTCACATGTGTGTTTGTGTGTATACACTACAAGTGAAAAGTTTGGAATCAGAAATATATATATATATATATATATATATATATATATATATATATATATATATATATATATATATATATATATATATATATATATATATATGTCATATAATAAGCTTCTTGTGCTCACAAAGGCTAAACAATACTGTAATAGAAACAAGGACAAATACAGCAAAAACTGTGATATAGGGAAATATCAGTTAAATAGTATATATTTATCATAAACTAATTAAATCATGTACTGGTATTTTATTGTATTTAGTTTAAAATGTGATTCTTGTATTTTAAAGTTAAATTTTGATCATCATTAAAAATACTAGTCCTCAGTGTCACATAATTCTCATGGTGCTTAATATAACCATCTGCTAAGAATAAACATTTATTGTTGTTGTCATAACTTTGTGAAACAATACAATACACATTATTCATTCATTTTCTTTTCGGCTTAGTCCCTTTATTATTCCAGGGTTGCCACAGCTTAATGAACCGCCAACTTATCCAGCACATGTTTTATGCAGTGGATGCCCTTCCAGCTGCAACCCATCTCTGGGAAACATCCATACACACCTATTCACACACATACACTACAAACAATATAGCCTACCCAATTCACCTGTACCACATCTTTAGACTTGTGGGGGAAACCAGAGCACCAGGAAGAAACCCACGCGAACACGGGGAGAACATGCAAACTCCGCACAGAAACGTCAACTGACCTAGCCAAGTCTCGAACCAGTGACCTTCTTGCTGTGAGGTGACAGCACTACCTACTGCGCCACCACGTCAGTACACATTATACAATACTATTTCAAAGTACCATTGAAAATTAATTACTTTTACTCATCAAACTAAATTGTTCAAGCATGAAAGTAAATTAGACAATGCGGTGGCTAGGTAGGTAGTGCTGTCACCTCACAGCAAGAAGGTTGCTGGTTCAAGCCTCGACTGGGTCAGCATTTTCGTGTGGAGTTTGCATGTTCTCCTTGTGTTCGCGTGGGCTTCCTCCGGGTGCTCCGGTTTTCCCCACAGTCCACATGCGTGACATGCGATACAGGTGAATTGGGTAAGCTAAAATTGTCTGTAGTGTATGAGTGTGAATGAGAGTGTATGGGTGTTTCCCAGTGATGGGTTGCAGCTGGAAGGGCATCCGCTGCGTAAGACATATGATGAATAAGTTGGCGGTTCATTCCGCTGTGGCGACCCCAGATTAATAAAGGGAAAAAGCCTAAAAGAAAATGAATGAAGGAATGAATAAAAGTAAATAAATTTTTTATAATGCAAAAAAGATTTTTTTTTAAATTTACTTATTTTTTTTATCAAACAATCATAAAAGAATGTATCAGTTTCCAAAATACTTTGAAGCTTTTTTTTAGCACTGATCATTATAAGAATCAATATTAGGGGTTTTGTACCAACAATATAATGATTTCTTAAGGATCATGTGACACTAAATTAAATGTGAAACTATGTTCAATAAGAAAAAAAATAACAATTGAAAAATTTGAATTATTTAAATTGTGTAGTAACTAGGGATGTAACAATATTGTAAATACCGTCATACCGCAATAGTAATTTTTTTCAATATTACCGTAGGCGCATGACTCAATAAAACTATTTTTCTGAGAAAAGTTTGCTTAGGCGAATGAAGTGAACGGGAGGTAGCGGGAACTACAATTCCCATCAGCCCAGGCGTGGCCATCATCCTTTGCAGTCTGTTGTCGCTACAGATCCAGTAATGCGGAAATGGAGTGTGGTGCTAGTAGCGGGGAAGAAAAAGAGCTGGAAACGATCGAACCTAAAGCGGGTTTCAAATCGGATGTGTGAAAGCATTTCGGTTTCTCTCTAAAAAGATACAAGAAAGGGGAAAAGGTTACAGACAAAGAAAAAAAAAAACAGTATGCAGGCACTGCCAGACTGTTGTGAAATATAAGTCGGGGAATACGACTAACAACAGTCATGGAGACTGCAGAACACAGCACACTTGTTAGATTGATGCAGACATTGACTTGTACCGCAAAGAGACCTCTATCTCACTCATGGCTTGTCCTCTCAAGTGGTGGAAAGACAATGCACAACGTTGCCCACTGCTGTCAACCTTGGCTTAATCATATCTCTGTCCCAGAAACCTCAGTCCCAAATGAGAGGGTTTTTTCTGTTGCAGGGGACATGCCCAGAGATCCCAGCTTTTACCAGATTATAGTTATATGATCATTTCTTTAAAAAACCCATCTCTATCTAAGTGAGTGAGTGATTAAATGTTGAATGTGATGAGTTTTCAACAATACTAAATTGAAACTTTTTTTATATATATATAGTTTAATAGTTTTTTGTTATTAAAATTTAAAAATTGAATTTCCTGTTTCGAAACTTACAGATAGATGGCTAATTTGTATGTCATTGATGTGTTCAGTGCTAAGGTAAATAAACACTTTTGGCACTTTTTTCGAGTCTTTTCATTAGTTTTGTTTTTCCTGTAAATTATTCAATAAGTATGCCATTCATACCGAGGTATTATCGTACAGTGAAATTCTGATACTGTTACATCCCTAGTACTAACACTTTAAAATTCAACATTTTTACTTTATTTTTGAACAAATAAATGCAGCCTTTGTGAGCAGAATAGCCTTTTTAAACATGACCTCTAAAAAATCTGTCCTTCAGATTAATATTTTGAATAGAATGCTTTACAATTATATATTTGTGCATAAACATTAGATTAGTCAAAGCCAAAATTGGAGCTAATAAACTTAGTACACGGCAGTGAATATTTTGAATATTTATATATAAAATATATATAAAATATATATATATTATATATTAAGGTCAATATTATTAGTCCCCTAAAGCAATACATATTTTTGATTGTTTACAGAACAAACCATCATTATACAATGACTTTAATTAACCTAATTAACCTAGTTAGGCGTTTATATGTCACCTTAAGCTAAACACTAGTATTTTAAGAAAATATAGGCAATTATTATCTACTGTCATCATGGAAAAGATAAAAGAAATCAGTTATTAGTTTTTACAAATTAGTTATTAAAACTAGTATGTTCAGAAATGTTGAACAAATCTTCTCTTTGTTAAACAGAAATTGGGGGAAAAAAAATATATTATATTATATACAGTTGAAGTCTGAATTATTTGCCCCCTGTTTATTTTTTTCCCCAATTTCTGTTTAACGGAGAGAATTTCTTCTACACATTTCTAAACATAATAGTTTTAATTACTCATCTCTAATAACTGATTTATTTTCTCTTTGTCATAATGACAGTAAATGATATTTGACGAGATATACTTCAAGACACTTCTATACAGCTTAAAGTGACATTTAAAGGCTTAACTAGGTTAATTAGGTTAACTAGGCTGATTAGGGTAATCAGGCAAGTCATTATATAGCAATGGTTTGTTCTATAGACTATCTAAACATTATATAGCTTAAAGGGGCTAGTAATTTTAACCTTAAAATCAATATTTAAAAAAATTAAAACTATTTTTATTCTAGTCAAAATAAAACAAGACTTTTTTTCTGGAAAAAAAAAATATTATCAGATACTGTGAGCATTTCCTTGCTCTGTTAAACATCATTAGGAAAATAATGAAAATAAATAATTCAAAAAAAAGGGCTGATAATTCTGACTTCAACTGTACATATAGCAAATAGGGACTTTAACTATGTACACACACGTCACTGGTGTTGTTCAAAAATCAAACATTTTAACATTTGAATGCCCTTTTCATGTCTTTAATCTTCATCATATAATAATAACCTTTTTTCAGGGAAAACCATTTTAGTGCTGCAAAAATGCATGTGCTTTTTCACTAAAATTTTCTTTCAGAACAGAAAATCACTTTTGCAGATAGTTTATTTCTTTTTGTAAGTCATACAGTTTTAAATACCTTGTTCACAGAAAATCTTTTATTCTTATTATTCAGATGCTTTGCTGGCATAAATCCAGAGAGGGGAACCAAGGCTGTGAGAGGAAATGTGACGTCAAAAACAACTGGCAAGACAGTTCAGAAGAAGACCATGACTGTAAACCCCAAGGTTTCAAACCTTTTAAAGAAACTAATGGACTTTGAATGGGACTTTATTTAAAATGCAGCTAGCTTGAACCCCCTACTTTTGCAACACAGAGGCCTTTTTTTCTTTATTTGCTGAAGCTCATTTTGGGGCTATATATTTTTATATTTTATATCCAAGACTAAATTGTAAAGTGGCTATTTATTAATTTTTTCTATGACATTCTGTAAGTTGCTTCCTGTTGTACAATGCTGAATACGATCTTAACATTTCTGGAGAACTTACAATTTTTGCCTGTTCTTTGGCTTAATATTTTCACAAACACAATGCAGATTTTATTTTGTGTTGTTTGAAAATAAAAAATGTGAAATATAACTTGGATTTATTTCTCTTTTTGAATCATTTTAATCTGAAATAATATGGTTAAATATGGATTGTAATTTAACAGCTTTATGCTTCTAAATAACAGATGCATGCTGTAGATAAAATGTAAAAAAGGTAGGGCACTGTATTTTTACATTAGAATAACAGTGGTATGCTGTATCTTACAAAACAGTATCATGCTGTTAATTTAAAATGGTAGGGCACTGTATTTTTACAGTTCCATAACAGTAGATTACTGTGGCTAAAAAAAGAGTATCATGCTGTTAATTTAAAACGGTAGGGCACTGTATTTTTACAGTTCCACAACAGTAGAATACTGTTGCTAACAAAAACAGTATCATGCTGGTAATTTAAAAAACGGTAAGGCACCATATTTTTACAGTATGATAATGGCAACCACAGCTGCCAGTAGATTACCGTTTTTTTACAGGGAAATTTTTTACAGTGTGGAGCAGCTGTGTGACTCCTGCAGACGGATCTGCCTCTGGAACTCGTGCTTTTTGAACTAGTCATCCGTCAGGAGCGGGCCGCGTTTCACTACATCTTAATAAAGTAATCCCCCTCTGGTTTTCCCTCCCTCTGGAATGCTCTTGTTCTCTGGGTTTCTCTGTGCTCATGCAGGATGTGACAGTGATTTGTTTTCTTTTCAGACTCGGGCTCCAGTAGTTCATCATTTCTCCAGCGTCCCTCTGTATCTGCTCTTGTAGATCTGTGCTGCGCCGGCCTCTTCTCCATCTCTGGATATTAATGTGAACGTCAGCACTGGAACTGCTCTCTGACTGTTTCATTTACTCCAGCGGTGTGTGTGTGTGTGTGTGTGTGTGTGTGTGTGAGGGTCATTGATTAGAGCTGATGATTTCGCTGATGCTGATGTGGAAGATGGGATTTCCTCAACTGCTGTCTTCATTCCTGCATCAGCGCATCTTCCATTACACGCAAAAATAAACTCACACTGAGTCTGCAGAGACCTGTAGTGTTACTCTCTACAGCGCAACACACACACAGATGCATGCACAGACGCCAACGCACAGACCCGGACACACACGCAGAAACACACACACATCTTTTGACTCAAACACACATGCACAGACTAAGACACATGCACAGCCACACACACACATACATGCACATGCACAGACACACACACACACACACACACACACACATCCTTAGACTCGAACACACATGCAGAGACACACAAACGCACACACATTCTTAGACTCAAACACACATATGTACACAAACTCACATACGCATACACACAAGCGCACACACACATGCACATCCTTGCACACACACACTTAGAAACACAAATGCACGCACACACACATGCACAGACCCAGACACACATATGCAGACACACGCGCACACATTTAAATATGCGCAGACTTAGACACGCACACACACACACACACAGAGACTTGGAAACACAATACACAGACATGCAGACACACAGATGCATGTATGGACACACACACACAGACAATACACACACATGCACAGACATGCACACACATCTTTAGACTCAAACACACACATGCAGATATGCAGACCCAGACACACACACAAACACACACGTCCTTAGACTCAAACACTCACATGCACAGACATATGCACGTTCACACACGCACACACATGCACACTTCCAAACACACAGACTCAGACCCAGAATCACACACACACACACACACACACACCTTTAGACTCAAACAAACACATGCGCACACACAGATACAGACAAGCACATGCAGAGATACATGCACAGACACACACACACACACACACACACACACACATGTTTGTCTGATCGGAAGATGTGTGGGGGGGTGCGCTCATCAATCAGCCGCTAAGCAGTGTGTACGGGCCGGGGCCGCAGGGCTGCAAGGTTAATGAATTTCGGGGGCCGCTCGGGGTCCGACTGCAGGCGTAGGAGCAGGTTGTCCAGAGAGGATCATCCGTCAGATCAAAGGGGTCACAGAATCCACCAAACACTAATACACACTCATTCTGGCCCTTCCACACGTCACACACTCTTACTCTATATGTAGAACGAGCAATCAATCAAATTAACATAACGTGATGTCATTATTTGCATATTACTGAGACCACCAATCACCTGTTAGAGTCCGCATGACATCTACATCCGCTCACTCATTCTCCTTCAGATGAGTCCCCTTATTCATCAGGGCTCGCCACAGTGGAATGAACCGCCAACAATTCCAGCATATGTTTCACACAGCGGATGCCCTTCCAGCTGCAATCCAGCTCTGGGAAACACTCATTCACACACACACACACACACACACTACATTTAGTTGATCAGTTCCCCTGTAGCACTCGGAGGAAACCCACGCCAACACGGGGAGAGCATGCAAACTCCAGCTGACCCAGCCGGGACTCAAACCACTGACCTTTTTGCTGTGAGGACACAGTGCTGACCACTGAGCCACCTGTTTATTTAGCGCTCTCACATCATGATGCTTCAGGTGATGATGAATCTGCGCACGTTAATCAGCTGGTAAAGGTGTCTGTTGTGGAAATCTTCAATAAACTCTCAGTGCTTCCGTGTTTGGATTGGCTCCCTCTGTTGAAAGCAACCTGAAGGTTTCCATAGCAACTGCATATTAATATACTCTATTAATGATGCGCAAATGAAAGCCCCGCCCCATCACTATTCACTCTTAGTTGGAAGTAAATCACCATAATGAAATAAACGTCTCTGCAACGTCTGCTTCACGTGGACTTTTATTTTGGCTCTCCATCTGCGTATTTAGCGAACACGTTCTTGTCCTCAATGCGATCATGGCAGTTCGTATGTTTTTGATTTAATTGCTAATTTGTATTCATTTGTACGATCTCATTTGTAACTTTTAGTTTTTTTGCTTATCTACAGTGGGTTTAGGGGCGGGGTTTGGTGCCACGCCTCCTTATATTGTAAATTTTCACACAATTGAAATCGAGTTTGTACGAATTAGCTGCTAACCTGACCAAATGTACAATAATTATGCGAGATTAGTTTACTGCATTCAGTTCATTTCACAGTATATCGGCCCAATCTTACGAGGAAACGTAACTATTTTACCTATTCTCAGAAAGTGGCTAATTTGTACTATTTTATTTGTATGAAAACGTTTAATGTTGTAACAAGAGGCGTGTCCTCAAACTCCACCCCGGGGTGATACGGAATATGAAATTGACACAGAATTTAGAAACATCAACATTAGTTGTATATAAATGTATATCTTACATGCCTTGGTTGCGATTGTGCATGAATATTATTGTAAATAAGTCACGCCATATATTACTATATTAGTTTGTAACGTGATTCCGCACACCTTTCGTTGAGCTGCTGTGGAGAAATAGTTATTGTGAAAAGCGCTATACAAATACACTTGAATTGAACTGATCAATATTCTAGTAAAGTTGACACGGTGGCTCAGCGGTGTCGCACTGTGGCCTCACAGCAATAAAGTCGTTGGTTTGAGCCTCAGCTGGGTCAGTGTGTTTCTGTGTGGAGTTTGCATGTTCTCCCCGTGTTGGTGTGGGTTTCCTCCGGGTGCTTCGGTTTCCCCCACAGTCCAAACACATGCGCTATAGGGGAACTGATCAACTACACTGGCCGTAGTGTATGAGTGTGTGTGGGTGTTTTCCAGTACTGGGTTGCAGCTGGAAGGGCGTCTGCTGTGTAAAACATATGCTGGAACAGTTGGTGGTTCATTCCGCTGTGGCGACCCCTGATGAATAAAGGGACTAAGTTGATGAAACATGAATGAATTTCCATTAAATTTTAATTGTATCAAGGAATTTTTTTGTGAGCATCAACAAATATCATATCACTGATTATATCATCAAATAGTATCAGATTACCTCCATGTTTTGGTGATCCATGGAACTGTATAAGTAAATCTGCTGTTATATTTGTGAAGTCAATGTTCACTTTCAGCTTAATTTCTGGAGCTTTTGCAGGAGTGTCATCAGAAAGCGATCAGCGCAGTACACCTCCATCTGCAGATGTAAAGTTTTTCCTTATCACACTTTATCAGTTTAGCCTAATCCTACAGTTTCACTAAACCAAAACACAGCCTACGCTTCTCTATTTGTCATTTTACCCCCAAAACACTCATCTTTTTCACATCTACATGTTTGCCTGCCACTAGAGGTCAATGGTTAACTCCACGTTGGCTCGGAATGGTCTGTTTTCTCAAGGCTGACGTGTTGGAGATTTACAGAGAGGCCTGTGATTGTTGCTTAAACCCTCTTTAATCCTCAGGATTTTCTGCACAATTGCTAATTTGTCATCTCTATCATTAATATCTGATGCAAAATACAGGATGTTCTCTGAAAGCAATGTATTCAAATAAACTGTAAAGAGATAGTTCACCTAAAAATGTCAAGTCTGTCATCATTTATTCAACCTCTACTTGTTTATCATTTTCTGTTCAGCTTAGTCCCTTTATTAATCTAGGGTCACCACAGCACAACGAACCACCAACTTATCCAGCATGTGTTACGCAGTTGATGCCTTTCCAGCTGCAACCCATCACTGGGAAACACCCATACACACTCATTCACACTCGTACACTATGGCCAGTT